AGAAATATGAAGTTGTTTATATCTAGTAAAATATTCAACTATAATAGTAATCATAGTATAAAATATACAAATAATTGAAATAATTGATGTAAACTTTAACGCACTTAAATTTTTAAAAAACGTTAAAGGAAGAATTAATAAAGACATCAAAGTAATCATTAAACTTCTATCACTATACCATTCATCATCATAATCTCCAAATAATCTTGGTGCAAATCCTCCAAGAAAAATTATATATCCAATACATGTTCCTGTAGTATAACAAAATGCAGATAATTGTACTACTATAGATAAATATTTCCCACCAACACAATAAGAAATTTCTTTATATGTAAATTTATTTGTTTTATTTGACGCTAATGTTAGAAATATCATTGTTATTGCTGATAATATCCATCCTACTCCTAACATTATTAATCCTATTCCCCATCCAGAATAAAGAAATGCAAATGGAATAGCTAATGTCCCACTTCCAATTATTGTGTTTGATAAATTAAAAATAGTAGATAATACTGATGCATGTCCTTTCTCTTTCATTCTTTCTTTTTCAATCTCATTTTAAGTTCTTTTTCTTTTTTTAAGTTCTTTTCTTCCTTTTTTCTTTTATCAAAAAAAATATTTTTGTTTTACATAACATTTCATTTTTATTTTTAATATATTGTATGATCCTTCTTAGAGTTATATCTAAAAATTTAATAAAACTATGAAAAAATAAATCTGTAAAGAGAAGAGAAATGATAATGACATAGATGGACTCTTTTGAATGAAGAGGTGTGTTCTTTTATAAATTTTTTCAATAAAAAAAGTTAATAAAGAATGAAGTAGCTTAAAAGAAATTTTTAAGATTATTCTCAAAACAGTTATAGATACACTTAAAGAGATAGCTCAAAAAAAAATGATATTATAAACAAATCCTATATTTTATAATGTTTAATTTCTTATTTTGACTATTGTTGTTTTTCTAATTTACTGTTTAATGAATAGTAAATAGTTATATTTAAATATAATAACAATTTAATTACCTTTAATACTAATCACATAGTTCATCTAAATCTTTGTTCGTGTTGATATTATTTAATTAATTTAAAACAAGGTATTGGAAAACTACAATAAATTAATGATTAAAGAAATATTAAATAGATATACAAATATCATTATAAGAACAAATACTCAACGAATATTGTATTTTATTATTTAGGCATATTTTCATAAACACAAAATTATAGGATAAGGGATACATTGTTAAAACAAAAGAAGTATAAATTATTAAGAATTCAAATAAAAAATGATAATACAATAATTAACTAATAATTTGAAATAAAAACATAGAAGTAATAAATCAAAAGTTAATGAAAATTGAGAAGAATAAATAATGAATGTAATGACATTTTATAATGACAAATAGAGAATTTAATTAATAAAAACATAATAGAAATAAAACTTATTTAGTATTTTATAATAAATAATTTAAATTATAAAATTATCAGAATTAACTAATAAATTAATTAGTTTCAAAACTATTTATTAATAATATTTAAATTATTTTATTTTAAATTATTATTTTTCTTAATGATTCAATAACAACAATTATTTTGTTATTTATGAAATAAAACAATAACATTATAATTTATTTTTTTTGATATTCCATGATAATGAAAGTAAAGGAGCAAAAAAAAGAAAAAAATATTATTTTTAAATGAAAAAATAGTTTTTAATGAAATAAAATTCAAAAGTTTTTTTAAACTTGAAAATAATAATTTCTATGGAAAATACATGTAATTGCCTTTTCTGTACAAAATTTAGTTCAGAAATTAAAACTAACAAAAACGTTTCATTAATTGATTTGTGCCGATATGCCTTTTTATCAATGGACAATAACCAAGACGTAAAGTTTATTAAAATTGATGACTTGTATAACTTTTTTGAACGTCATTGGGATATTGTTTGCCATTTAAAAGAATTTAAAAAGGAGTCTTGGAAAAAAGAAGTTTATGTTACTCTGAGTACATCTGATTATTTTCAAAATAAAATTAATGAGTCTCAAGAAACCAGCTATTGGCAATTAAAAGATTTTACTATTCCTGAAATAACTAACAAACCTAAAACACAACAATCAGATGAACCCTCTGTTAGTTATCGTATAGTTAAGAGAAATTTCAAACTAAAAGAAAAACCTTCAATAATTCCAAAAACACAATATAAGAAAGAGGTGGTAAGACCTATCTTAGATCCATATTATCCTGAAAACTTTTATATAAATCAAGATTTCTATACCAACAATTCTGACTACATAAAAAAAATTTATCAAATTATGCAGAGTTATGACTAAATAGTTCTTTTGCTTTTTAGTTTCATTTTCTTTTGTTATTTCTTTGATTGTGTTATTTTATGTGAGTAAAGAATATTGTCTTGAAGAGTTCTTTAATAATATCTTATTCCTCAAAAATTATTTTCTTTTAGCTACTTATCACTCTTTTAATATTGTTAACTATGTCATTTTTATTTTAATTTATTATTTTTCATACTCATTCATGTGTTAGTTATTTTATTTGGTTCATTTTAAAATTGTGACAATGGATAGAAAGTTTTTCATAATAATTACACGTTTATAACTATCTTTTAGTTAACTTGGTAAACTACTCATTATAGTATTTTAAAGAGAACCAATATTAACTGGTAAACATGAAATATAGTATAATTTTATTTGTTTATTCTATGAAATATTTAACAGATATTCATTTCTGATATATTATAAAGAAACTTCTTAGTTAACAATGATAATTCTATGAAAACTTAGATAAAAATATCATCATTTAATATATAACTTGTTGATTAAATGATTTTTTTTTAATCAAATAACTATCGTTTCAATACATTTAATTATTTTAATTTCATTCTGTATTTCATTTAAATTATTTATTGTAATTAATGAAAGTTAAATATGAAATGATGTAAACATGTTATTAAATTAGTTTTATTACCTCATTCTACTAACAAAATTAGTGAATTATCCCCATACATTTCCATCATCAAGAAGTCCTCTTGTCATTCTCAAATATGTGAATGCTGTTAATCCATGTTGTTTACATTTATTGATGATTTGATTAAATCCATTAGTGTTACATCCTCCATATCCACATAATTCAAGTGCATTTTCTCCACATTTTCCAATTCCAACTGTTCCTGCTGCATTAAATGCTTGATCAACTAAATTAGCTGGTGATGATCCACAACTTCCATCAGTTCCACTCATTTCAAGACATGTAAAATCAAATCTAACATTATTATTTTTGAATGTATTAGAAAGTGTTTTGTATGCATCATTTCCATTTGAGTTATAATATCCAGCTGTCATTTCTGCTGCATGTGATTGATCATTATACCACCAATGAACTCCTGATATTTTACCTGCAAGTGCAAGTGTATTTCCAAATACATTTCTTGCTGCTGAAAGAACTTTATCTGTGTGACTTAATAACAGGTCAAAATACCATTCTTGGAAGAATCTTCCATATTCACTTTGATAATTATCAAATCCATTTCCAAAGAATCCTGTTGATGATGGTGGTTTAGAATTATAATTTCCTGCATTTGATGGTGATCCATTTCCCCATTCTGAATGTCCTTTAGCTGTTGCTGCTTTTTTAAGTAATTCTTTTGATTTACCATCATTACATTGGAATTCTCCTACTCCACAATAACTCCATCTTGAAAGTGGATATGATGGATACCTTGTTTCTCCACATGGTCCCATACCTACTTGAATTTCATTAATTGTTCCATCATCAATATAACTTTGGAAGTTTTGTTTAAATGAAGTCATGAAATCTTTATAAATTTCAATTGGTGTTCTTCCTTCAAAAATAGATGAATCATCATATGCAAATGAAATATATTCATTATTAACATTATTTTCATTATCTTTAAAGAATGCATCATTTGCTGCTCCTGCATTTCTTACCCATTGTGGAATTTCAATTGTTACTGAATCTCCTACATTTCCTCCACATTTATGGAATGACATAACTGCTTGGAATTTTAATCCTGCATTTTTAACCATTTGAACTAATTCTTTATATCCATTCCAATTGTAATTTCTTGGTGATGTTTCTACAAGTCCCCACCAAACATCTGCCATGACACCAGCAACTCCTCCTGATTTAATTTTATTTAAATCATTTTGAAATTGTCCTTTATTATTAACTTCATTAGAATTGCAGTATCAAGTGGCATCATCAAATTGACTTCAGTAGCCAAAGTCAAAAGTGAAAAACTTATTTGTTTATTCTTTTTTTTTTACTTTTCTTGAAAAAAAAATATATTACAAGAAACACCACAGAAAGTATGAAATCAATAACAAAAGAAGGAGAAGTCAATATCATCCATGAAATATAAATAATAGAAGAATGAGTGAAAACGAATATTATTTGTATTGATAGAAATACAATAATTATCACAATAAACATTACCATAATAATCATCATCATAATCATATAATAGTAATTATAATAATAATGGTATGAATCATTTCATTCATCACTTCAATCATTTTCGTCATCATAAGTATTTTATTATTAATTCAAATAGAAACAACAAGTATTATAATACAAATAACTATCATAATAAAACACAAAGAAGAATAAAAATATCATAT